CATATCTATGTGCACACCAGTGGGTGCATTCCCTATCCTTGATACAGATGAGCTTGATTTCCAGGAAGCACAAATCTGTGTAATTAATGGACAAAGCAAGTACTGGATCACAGCTGTAAAAGGCTGAATATATATCTCATGTACTATGTTGATTTTACAATTCTAACATAGGGGAAGGGACCTGCTTCTGCTGCGGCAGGAGAGCCCGGACAGTGACCAGGATATTTGGTGTGACACTTTTTGCGATGGTGTCACAGCTTGTCACGTCCGCGACGCGTTCGGACGCGTCGTTAATTGCTCTTTACTGCCAGAAAACCTACAGCGTGCTACGTTCACATTCACGCGTCACTTGATTCATAAAAGTTGATCTATATCAACGAGCGGATGCAACGTTGGTTGTACATTTTTGTTAAATGTACTTGCGGTCTCGTTACCTCTATCGAATGAACTTGATATTGGGAAAATCAGAAATTCAAAACCAACGTTGCATCTTCTGTATCATGACATCCCTGCTGGTACATTTTATATGCGTGATTTCGACATGCGGAAGGCTCTATGAAGGCGGGGGATTTGCGACCACTTTCTTGCAGAGTCCAAACAGATGCAAACAACTCGCCGCGCGACCCGGAATTGCGCCTCCCCATTGGTACATGCTAGCGACTTCGCGCTGATTTGCCTGGACAAAACTAATCTGTTTGTGTGGGCGTCAGGTTATGGCAATAACATGCCGGCCTGTAATCGATGGTATGTGCTCCCCTACCATACGTATATGCCTACGATCCTGACATCCCTCCGGTCTCGGTATCAGCCCTCTCTCAATCATCAAATCGCGGTCTATGAGCGAGGTCTTCTCGCTTGGCATCTTCGACATGCTGTCATTGTCCTTGAAAGGGGGGGAATTGCTTTTGCTTATCGGTGAGGATAGATGAACTGTACGGCTACATGCTGCTGACTTTCTGCCCCCGCTGGATCACCTATGGTATGTGCTACATCCCACTCTGGATTGCAGGGAGCTAATACCAAATGTGCTGTGCGTCTTCCCTTTGTCCATTTTCTGCATCTCTGACTCACTCATCATGCAGAACACATCTCCCACGGCCCCTCGCATCTCGATTCGGGCTGCGCCATGCTCGCGCACCTGCGGCATAACGAAAAACAGCCCAAGGACTCGCCTGATCACTGGTGTGACCACGGCGCATGCGCGGCACGCTCTCGCACAAGAAGCAGGTCGACCTTGAGCGTCCGTGCAAGGGCGCGAAGTGCACGAACAGGGACATCAGGCCCGGCGGGTAGGTTACGAAGTGCGATCGCGGGAATGGGTACAACACGGCCGAGTACAAGAAGCTCTACGAGGAGTGCGACGCGCTCGAGGCGGTGCGCGCTCCCCAAAGAGGAGATCGACAAGCAGATGACGACCGACGGCCAGGGACCTCGCTGCCGTCGCGGCGTCGCCAAGGCGGGCAAGGAGAAGGGCGACTACGACATGGCTTGAGCAACTACGACATGGCTTGAGCAACTACGACATGGCTTGAGCAACTACGACATGGCTTGAGCAACTACGACATGGCTTGAGCAACTACGACATGG